TCTGACTAGTTGACGTAGAATTTACCATGATCTCCTTGTCCTGTCTGGTGTGGTCCTTTAAAGTCCCCACTAGGAAGTATTCCTACATGTTGGGTGCAGTCTTTGGTAGACTCAAGAGTTACAGTTCCATCTCCAGGATGATGCTTGGCAATCAGCATGAAGATAAATCTTTGAAAAGATCTTTAATAGGTTGAATGCGTAAGTTGGATCATATTCACCCTGCTACTATATGCGATTATTTGCAATTATATGCAATTATTTGCGAGTATAAATAATAAAATGTGATTTTAAGAGATAATATACGTGATTATATATGTGATTAAATGTGATTATATGCTATTATATGCTATTATATGCGATTATATGCGATTATATGCTATTATATGCTATTTTGTGGAATTATTTTGCAATTATATGCGATTATTTGCAATTTTATGCCATTATATGCTATTATATGCTATTATATGCGATTATATGCGATTATTTTGCGATTATTTGCGATTTTATGCGATTATTGCTATATAATGGTTGTTGCATAGCATTATAAAACGTTTGTACTGCAGTTATGAATTCTGTAACCTGCTCATTCTGTGACAAGTCTTTTGCCAATAAATATAGTCTGTCCTCACACATTAGTAGGTATCATCGAGAGAACCGAGAGTCAGATGAAAGTTCTGCAATTCTACTGCCGCTGTCAAAAACTAACTCAGATGTGACTGATGTTAAAATGGAGGGTCCTGATTCTGTATGTTCAGATGCTGATACAATAGTTTCTGAAGAATCTCAGCAAGGTGGTTCTAACTCTGATGTACCAGGTAGTGGTGATGATGAATTTAGTGGTGTAACAAGTAGCGATGATGAGTCCAACAAAGAATATAGTGCTAAAGAGTTAGAATCTGATACTGACTGGCAACACGTAGGCAAGCGGAAAGGAGTACCAATCAAACAACCAAACAGTAAAAAGATATCGAGTTTACTTAAATCTCTAGACGTCCTGTTACAAAGTAAATTGTGTAAAGAGCAAAATAAATGTTTTGACATTTTATTCTCATACATGATGAAAACCGAATTGTTTGTTGTCTTGAAGCAGCGTTTCATTGACAGCGGAGAAGACCTAACAGATATTTTAAGTTTGGAAGAACGATCTCTATTGGATGCAGTTATCACCACTACAAGTCTATCTGATGTAAACAAACTAATGAACGAAAACACAAATATTGTCGATAAGATTCTCAAACTTTATCTGAATAAATAGTTGATGGAACTAACTACCAGTACTAGAACCCCATTAACATACAACTGTTATAGATTGATTTATGTACCCAATCTTACTCTTGATGATTTCAATTTATAATTATGGTGATAACAAAAAAATTATCAATTAAACGGTAGTTTTATTCGTCTCTTGAAATTCACCAAATTTATAACACGCAAATTTAGTAGTTAATAATAGTCAATGGTATGGAGCCTTTGCTACTCCCTAGACTGCAGGGTGACAATGGGATTCGATTCGCCCTGAACCTTTTGTGCAGAAGGCGGTTGCTCTAACCACTATGCTACCTAACAGTTGTTATATCTTAAAGGGTGAAAATGTGGTTCAGATACTGTAGCTATTGCTTAAATGTCAGAAAATTGATGATAAGACTTGCAATTCCCAGGAGGAGTGGGGGGGGGGAGTGATGCAATGGTAACCCTACACCACATTTCGTTATGACACCCTCTGCTTATTTGGAGTGGTGACTGGACCGGGGTAAATCGTGAAGAATCATTTGACCAGTAATCAAATAACAGGAACCTGCTTGGCAACCGTTTAATCAGACTTTAGATTCTTTAGTCGGGATTATTAATTTATTCATCATGACGTTCTGACGGGTAATCAAGTGACTCCTGTCATGTGATCTCGAGGTTCAAATAACATTCATGTCACATGATGCTTAAGCTAAACACGTGACCGGTAATCAAATAACAGGAACCTGCTTGGCAACCGTTTAATCAGACTTTAGATCCTTTAGTCAGGATTATTGATTGATTCGTCATGACGTTCTGGCTCCTTATTGGTCAATCAAATGTCACGTGACCTTGACATTTGATTGACGAGCTTGTCACGTGGTTACATGACATGTGATCTGTCACGTGACGTGCTGTCACGTGACCTGGGGGCGTGCTGTGAGTGGCTGGGAGTCACTTGATGACTGGCCTTCACACATTCCCATCTACTAACATGTATCACCTCTTCAGTCTTCAAACCGCCTAATATATATAACAGGGGCTTACTATTAAAGTAAACAAACATGTATCACCTCCCCGCCAGTATCCACATCTATAGAACACTCGATTTCACGATCTCCAAATAGTTGAATGAACCCTCCATTTTGCGCCCTCCATTAACTTATTAAGTTTAATGCAAATAAACATACCATTGTACGAAATTATTCCCCTATAATTAATAAAACTTATTTATCCAATTATGAATCATATTCCTTCTCCCATCACGTGACCCTACCCTACAAATTGACAAACTGTTTACCGTCCCGCTACCCATCATTCCTTCCTACGTGTCTTTAATTTAACTTATTAAGTTTATTCGACTGTTTGCTATGTTTTATTTTACTTCTTCAAGATTGCTAAAGTTGATGAGAATTTAGGAGCACTTTTTACAACGACGATATGAGGTGCTTCGTGATCTCATCTTTGATAGGGTAAGAAATACTGATATATATGTGTCTTTTCTCAAATAAAACACATTTTTCTATTCAAGTTAACTTAATTAATTAACACTTTGAAGAATAAGAGGTTCGGGTATATACATTTTAAATAAAAATTAGGTTGAGTGGACCGTCCCAGTGTATTCATTTTCCAAACAAACGGAAATGATCTATCAATTTAAATAACTTACTCCGTAACGCATGGCTTGTGCCGCGTACTACCTCCTATCATGAATTATGAATGAACAGACCGACGTTTTACAAGCTAACCTCTATAAGTCTATAATCTATATACCGTGCCACTCTATATCGAGTACCTCGATATATCGGCCCCTTCTTTTCCCCAAACTTTAAGTTAATTAGCTAGTTTTGTAGAAGAAATGTGATTTATCATAATAGCTCTTATCGCATTTTGTGTCGACAACATGTTGAGCTTTATTCCATGACAATACCACACAATTGGAACCAAACACAAGGGCTGTGTTCGCCAACTTCGTGTCCCCCGCCCTTTTGTTCCCCGCCCTCTTGTTCCCCGCCCTCTTTTTCCCCGCCTTCGTGTTCCACGCCCTCTTGTTCCCCACCCTCTTGTTCCCCGCCCTCTTGTTCCCCGCCCTCCTGTTCCTTGCCCTCTTGTTCCTTGCCCTCTTGTTCCCCGCCCTCTTTTTCCCCGCCCTTGTTCCCCGCCCTCGTGTTCCCCGTCCTCGTGTTCCCCGCCCTCTTATTCCCCGCCCTCTTGTTCCCCGCCCTCTTGTCCCTCGCCCTCTTGTTCCTCGCCCTCTTGTTCCCCCTCATCTTGTTCCCCGCCCTCGTGTTCCCCGCCCTCTTTTTCCCCGCCCTCGTGTTCCCCGCCCTCGTGTTCCCCGTCCTCGTGTTCCCCGCCCTCTTATTCCCCGCCCTCTTGTTCCCCGCCCTCTTTTTCCCCGCCCTCGTGTTCCCCGCCCTCGTGTTCCCCGTCCTCGTGTTCCCCGCCCTCTTATTCCCCGCCCTCTTGTTCCCCGCCCTCTTGTCCCTCGCCCTCCTGTTCCTCGCCCTCTTGTTCCCCCTCATCTTGTTCCCCGCCCTCTTGTCCCTCGCCCTCTTGTTCCTCGCCCTCTTGTTCCCCCTCATCTTGTTCCCCGCCCTCGTGTTCCCCGCCCTCTTGTTCCCCGCCCGTATATTCTCCGCCCTCTTGTACCCCTCCTTCGTGTTCCCCGCCCTCTTGTACCCCTCCTTCGTGTTCCCCGCCCTCTTGTTCCCCGCCCTCTTGTTCCCCGCCCTCTTGTTCCCCGCCCTCTTGTTCCCCGCCCTCTTGTTCCCCGCCTTCGTGTTCCCCGCCCTCTTGTTCCCAGCCCTCTTGTTCCCTGCACTCTTGTTCTCCGCCCTCCTGTTCCCCGCCCTCGTGTTCCCCGCCCTCTTGTTCCCAGCCCTCGTGTTCCCCGCCCTCTTGTTCCCAGCCCTCTTGTTCCCTGCCCTCGTGTTCCTCGCCCTCGTGTTCCCCGCCTTCCTGTTCCTTGCCCTCTTGTTCCCCGCCCTCTTGTTCCCCGCCCTCTTGTTCCCCGCCCTCTTGTTCCTCGCCCTCTTGTTCCCCCTCATCTTGTTCCCCGCCCTCGTGTTCCCCGCCCTCTTGTTCCCCGCCCGTATATTCTCCGCCCTCTTGTACCCCTCCTTCGTGTTCCCCGCCCTCTTGTACCCCTCCTTCGTGTTCCCCGCCCTCTTGTTCCCCGCCCTCTTGTTCCCCGCCCTCTTGTTCCCCGCCCTCTTGTTCCCCGCCCTCTTGTTCCCCGCCCTCTTGTTCCCCGCCCTCTTGTTCCCCGCCCTCTTGTTCCCCGCCCTCCTGTTCCCCGCCCTCGTGTTCCCCGCCCTCTTGTTCCCAGCCCTCGTGTTCCCCGCCCTCTTGTTCCCAGCCCTCTTGTTCCCTGCCCTCGTGTTCCTCGCCCTCGTGTTCCCCGCCCTCTTGTTCCCCGCCCTCTTGTTCCCCGCCCTCTTGTTCCCCGCCCTCTTGTTCCCCGCCCTCTTGTTCCCCGTCCTCGTGTTCCCCGCCCTCGTGTTCCCCATCCTTATGTCCTGTACCCGGCACAATAATGTAATGCTCTAATGGGGTATATCTGATTTTTCCTTATATCGGGTTTATTCTATACAATGCACTTTTATTTTCCCCGAGATGCCTGGTATATAGATAGAGCTATAGAGGTTAGGGTATACTTATAATCGGATTTAAATCTTGTTTCTTCTAAAAAAGCCATGGTGATTGTTAACCTGATGTTGCTAAATTTGTTTACCTGCAGTTTAACGCTGGTGCTTAATGATGGTGTGAGAACTGAGGACACAGAAGATGTTGAAACTGTGAAGGGGAACCAGGGTGAGTCACTGCTCTGAATTGTGAATTCTCTAAAATAGTACATACTTAATTACGGTATCTCCGGATAAAAATGTTTTCCAGCAATCTCAGAAGATTGCCTTCAGCGCCCTCTACAGTCTACTCCTTTAGTTACCTCAAACTCCTTCAATTTCAAACTTTATATAATAGCTAACCATCTTCTTATACTTACTTGTACTTGAAAAGGTCGTTGGAGTGGCCTGCACCACACAGTAACTCCTTTCACCGGTGTATTAGACCTCTCCATTATACCCTGTTTGTTGCTCGTTGTTCTGCATCTTCTATCCTGATGTTATCGACACCTGTGAAGATTGCTGCATCCTCTCGGACACATGACAACCAGTTTTTCCGAGTTTTACCTTTTTTACCATGTTGTGGGATCCAGTGCAGAGGATAGTTGTAAAGTAAAATAAGGTGTAGCGACCAGACTGATCCTCCCGGGGCGTACCAATGGTAAACACTGCCTGCTCACAAGTACTACTCACTACACACTATACTGACTTAGTCGTCCTGCGACAAATCCCCACAAAACCCACGATATAATCAAGTATCGAACGCTAATCTAACACGATAGGTACGAGATTTTAGTATCGTACGGGTACAGAGAAGGGGAACAATCTGAAGTACTGTAATTGAAAAGATATAACAAGGGTACGATAATGAAGTGTCGTACACGGATACTTACAAACCTCTAGCTCTGCAAGCAACACGTGCTGTGATAAATGAATAATACGATAACTCAAGTATCGGTAACTATTGTACTTTAGCTCTTACAGGCTACTGAGTGAGTGCCGTATTACTTTCAATATGATCGAATGACTTGATCGGATCTTAAGTAAGGTATGAACAAAGGAAACAGTGCATTCGAACAACAAGTTTCGAAACGTGATAAATTACAGTCAATCAATAAACGAAACTAGTGACTCGCCGGCCACGTTACAGTGTTTTTCGGCAGCGGTAACTTATTTAAACTGCACCTAGCAAGCCACCCGAAGAACTGATTGTAACGGGGCAGATGAGAATTACCAGCACTGCGTTACTCGGCCACACTTGGCTCAGTGTGTCCAATAATATAACCTAACTAACTACCCTGACTACCGCGTGACCTCCAAAACCAATCCTAATCTACAACACTAATCTAATCTAATCAAACACTAATCCTAAGGGTTTTAATTCACTAAACTACAATTTCCTAACTAAAATATCACTACACTTAAACTGCTGAAACCAGCTTCCACATTACACTATATCCCCCGGGAAGATTTTATCGATTTCGTCAATATCTCAAGGTATTGACAAATTCGACCAAACCTCCCCCTACCTACTAAAATCCTAAAATACTAAACCATTAAATCTCTAAAGAAAAATAAAGAAGAATGCACGTATAAACCCTCACGTGACTAACACTAACCCTAAAATCCCACGTGCTAACCTCACCCATGTCCAACTCCATACACAATAAAAAAATCTACACGAATGCACCTTACGTGTGAAACTGAATTAAAAAACAAATAACAAGTGTATTATACCCAACATTGACCGGCGAACTGATAGCTACTTCAGAAGCAATGAAACTACAATCTTCTAGATAAAATGAGTCATAGTACTTTCAGCCGGAGCCATCATGAGTGACATAAATCTAAAAAATAGTATGGTTAGTTTCTAAATATAAACTCAAACTCTGAAAAGGAAACTGCTGTGAAAAGTGAAACATCAATAAATGGACCAAGTATTTTTTTTTAAAAATTTATGGAAAGCCCTTCGGACGAAATACAAATTAATTATGCAGTAAAGGACTCTTGAAAGGGTTTGTACTATTCATTCCTGAGGGGCGAAAAACAAATAATTACGAACATATAAAAAATGCTCGTAACAAACCACATATTAAAACTTTCTCGTGATGATTTTATAACCGTAAAAGATATACAACTTATATTTTTTTGACTGGTTCAAATACTTTAATGGCCTTCAAATCAGCATGACAAAATAAAAAATTGGCCGAGGAATAAGAATTTTAGTGCCCAGAATTTGGACCCCCAAGTGGTGTCAAAAACGCGAATTAATTAGGTAATAATCATTTTAGTCTCTTGAGTCTTGATACCACTTTAGGGTTAGGCGGGTTCCTGCTAGTTATTACTGATTCATATATAATCTTAAACTAATTGCAACACTACAAATCTATTAAATTTATTGAGTATTATGTATCGCTATTGTAATAATTTGAGCGAGTAATATCCTGTAAAAACCCAGAATGTATAACATGGTCATGAAGACTTTGTTGTAACTTGTATGAAAAGCATTAGGTAATACATTTTAAATCATGTATATTACGATATACATATTGCACGTTTCTATTCTGTAACTTTAACCGTCAACCATGGTCCATGATAAGCCTTTTATCATTCCATAATGTTCATTATAAGATGGTTCTATGGTTTTAAAATTTGCACTCTGAAAATAACTCACTCTATCTACCGTATTAATCAAATTATTAATTATTACTGAGATATTCATAAACAAGTCTTCTCATATATATATTGTTAGTCAGCCACAACTGTCAGTAAAACAACGCCTTGACTTCAATTGTCGGTAAAATGTACCTTTACAGTCATCCTCAAATTATTTGTTATGTAGTAGTGTTGAAAATAATTAAAAAACTTATATATATATATATTTCGTTGCTGTACTCCTACACATTAAAAGTCGGTGTTGATTAGATCTTCGAAATTCTTTGCATCATTTATTAAACATCGTTATCTCAAATTATTTGTTATATTATAGTAGTGTTGAAAGTATTAAATATATATATTATATATATATATATATAATATTATAATTCTAATAATCGACATTTCTAAGATCCGTGTTGCAGCTCAAAACATTTCAACCCAGTTTATCATAACTTACAAATCAACAGATATGTGGAGCCCTGTGGTTAATTACAAAAGTATCCCTGCTGATCTGGATACTTCTTACCTGCACCTGAGAACAGACAGCACTGTCGGTAGTGGGGAGGAGATAGGGATATATTTCTATAGTGAGGAAAGAGAAGAAGTAGGAGGTATTGGTATCCGGTTCAGTACTCGTGTAGAGTATTGGCTTCACTTTTGTCAATTAGGCTACACTCCCTTCCAGAGTCTACCTACAGGAACAGATAAACACTGGGTATTAGAGAAACATAGATACAGGTACATAGTATATTGTAATGGAAAACAGGTACTCGACATAACGGTGTCATCTAAAACGTGTAGTTATGTAAAATGGAACACTTATTGGGGAAGAGAAGTGAGCAGAATAGAGCTTAGTACAGGCAGCACTGCCTCTTATTATAATATAGGTTAGTGCTTTGGTAGTATAGTACCTTAGTAAGTTAGTACAGATTTGGGTGACAATGCTATTATTTTAAGAAGTGTAATTAAATTTATATTTTAGACATTGTTTGATCCGATACTGCGATGTCGTGTATTATTAAACCAGTCATGGGAGGATCAATGAACGTTGAATGAGGGTACATTCGCTCTTTCAAAAAAACGATTCTTTACTCACTGTTATCATTATCGTTTCAGAGCGTGTGTGGGAGTTTGAGAGAGCATCTCTTATCAACATGGTGACTGGAACGAAAAAACTTAGTGATAGCGGGGGTCTTTTGGTCGCAACAATTTTTAACAAGCAAACTGGTATGGTGAAAAATGGAACAGTTTGCAAGGATGCGTTTAACTGGTATTCGGCACAGCGTTTTTGCTGGTCAATTGGATATCACTTCTCTGACTGGGGAAGTAATCCGAGAAACATGAAATATGTTCCTGAGTGAGTTTGATTTATGTGTCAACATTTTAGTTTCTGTTGCAATGGAAATGCTGTTTCTTTGCTATTTTGAATATCCGAACATTCTGCAATCTGCACCATTAAACCATTCAATCATTTAGGGATTGGCTGAAACGAACTGACATGTCAATAGTAATGGATGACGTAAGCTGTAAAGAGAATGATATTGACATATCAGATTGCGATTTTCGCATTTTGAGACACAACTGTCAACATGAGGACAATATTTGGCTCCACTGCTTTAGTAATACAGGTATGCCCTGCCTAGGTCGATCTCGATGAAATCTGGAACGAGTTTCGTGTCAACGCTTTGCTCCATTTATCTCTATCACACATGAGCAAACGCAACTGGTCAGGTTCCATTCCAGTGTCTTCGAGTAGAACATCAGGAAAGGGCTTATATGGTCGTCCTCGATAACGCTGGCCGTAGGATGGTTGCCAAAAAGGAGTTGTTGGGCAGGTTGGTCCTGTAGACGGTAGACATGCCCTGCAAAATTGAAGTCTTTGTGTCTTTATAGTATCTGTCAACGATGGTATCTTTCCATAAAGAACGGAGTTAGGTGTATGTGATTTCCATGAGATACCAAAGACCCTTCGTACCATTCTAGTATAAACACCGTCTAGTGCTCTTATATCAGCCTTTTTAAAAGTCTAGGTTTCTGCGCCATACAGCAGAACAGGTTCTACTGCAGTTCGAAAATGTCTTAGTCTTGATCTTCATAGACATATAAGATTTCCAAAAAGCATCCAGACTCTGTAAAGCTTTCCATGCGAGGCCTTTCCTGACATTGATGTCTCTGCTTGTTGAGGCTATAAAAGATCCTAGGTACTTAAAGTCATGAACTTCTTCTAAAGGGATGCCGTTAATAAAGACTATTTCGTCTGAGTTGACAGGTCGCGGGATGTTGTTGGACATGTATTTGGTCTTTTCGATGTTAATAAGGAGACCATAACGGGCTGCTATGTCAGAAATGCTTTGGCAAAGGCGGCCATTTTCGCTGAAGCTGTCAGTAATTGTTGCTAGGTCATTGGCAAAGTCCAAATCAGCAATGTAGTTACTGCCATTTTTAAACCCATCACGTGGCCCTATTGCCAGTCTTAGTATAAAATCCAGGACGATGATAAAAACATCGCCCTGGAGAATTCCGAGGTTGGTA